AGACAGAAGAAATAGAAGGAACATAAGAAAGTTTAGAGTTAACTGTTACTCTGAGAAGGCTTTGGGAGGGGTGGGAGAGGCTGCAGGAACAAAGAAATCTCCTTACAAACTCTTTTTTACTTTCCAGCCATCCAGCAACTATGTTATAATCTTAGATACGCAAGAACCATCTGAATGGATTTTGGCCATGGAGTTCTAACAGCTCACTCTGAGAATGTCCATGTTAACATCCTTTACACATACCTTATCCCTGAATTTTTCACTTGCAAGTTGATACTGTTATGGTTGCTACACTGTGTCAACTTGAGGAGTCCAGAGGCTTGGCTAGGTGACTCAGCAGTTCTGCACCCTGGGGTGAAAAGCTGCTCTGGGAGGTTGTTCATTGTGTCAATTTGAGAAGTTCAGAAGGTTAACTAAGTGACTGGACAGGGGTCGCGTCCTTACTTTGTATCATCCTGAGCCTGTGCAAGAGGAGGGCACAGAGGTTGTGGATGTAAAGGACCACCCCTCCCCAGGGTGGGTGGCTGCATACCATAGAAGGAAAATGAGAAAGGACTGGCTGCTGGTTCAGAGGAGCTCCAGTTTTCACCTTCAGCTTGGTCATCTCCTGGCTTCTGGTGCACACTGTTTGGCTTCTGCCTGGGACTCTTCAGCATTCTGGTGTAGACTCTTTAGCCTTCATTGTGGATTCTTTAGCACTCAGCCGCAGACCCATCTGCCTCCTGATATGGACTTGCCCGGACACTGCAGTGAGCTCCAGGCCTTGGACTGGGCTCTTCAATCTCCAGCATGCAGACACCCTCTACACGCTTCCTCACCCAACTCTGTGGCAGACCATTGTAAGCCAAACTTGTAATTTCTTATACATTTGTACGTCTTGTGTTATTTCTATTTATCCAGTAAACCCTGACTGATACAATAACAAAGCAACATATACAATTTTTGTCATATATACTCAGCATAGAGATTATCTAGCCCAGTCTCCTGCCTGCAGGCAGATCCAAATTTTATATATCCTTTCTCCTTTGTACTAGGCTCAGCTACCAGTTTCCTCTGCAAACTGCTTCCATCACCCTTAAATTGACAATACTCTTTATGTTACACTTGTTAGACAAAGATTTTAATCTGGATTCCCTAGAGGAAGTCTGATGGGTCATAAAAATACTTAATTATAATTTCATCAATGTAGAGGGTGAGGTAAATGGCTGATATTATAACTAACCACCTATTTCAAATTTTAATGCTCATAAAAGTAATCTTATTGTTTTATTGATTAGCTTTATGAGAAGTATTTCAATTTGAATTTATAATAATAAAAATATTATTCTTTTTATGTTTATTTTTTTATTTCATGTAAGATTTTGTTTGAAATAAAAAGACAGGTCTGTTACTACTCATAAAAAGCTTTTTATATTTTTTATTATAAAGAGAAAAAAAACAAAGTTTAAAATGAGATAAAAGGAGGGTAACAATGGTTAATACATTGAGTATTGTTATCTTTAAATTAATCATGCAGAGTACTAGATATATGCATTTAATTGTCCAGACAATATTAGCACAAACTTTTCTTTTCAATTAACTAAGCCATTCTTGCTGGGGTGAGATGGAATCTCAGTGTTGTTTTAATGTGCATCTCTCAAATAACCAGTGATGCTGAACATTTTTTTCATGTATTTTTTGCTGTTTATATTTCTTTGTCTGAGAATTGTGTATTCATCTCAGATGCCACTTTTTGGATTGGGTCTTCAAACTTGGGGCTCTTATTTTCTCAATACTTTATACATTCTAGATAGAAGTACTTTGAGGGACAATTGGCTAAAATTTTTCCCACTCTGTGGGTTGTCTTTTTTTTTTTTTTTTGTGGGTTGTCTTTTAACTTTGTTAGTGATTTCTTTTGCTGTGCTTTTTAATAAGATAAGATCCCAGATGTTTGTTTTTTGAAGTATTTCCCATGCAGTCTGGGTTTTGTTCATGAACTCTCTACTTTATATCTATGTCTTCAAGATTTCTACCACTTTCTCTCCTAATAGATTTAGTGTTTCTGCAGTTGTGAATGAAGTAAAAATAGTACAGGGGCAGTCCTATAAACTCTCTAATGGCTCTTTCAGCTCTGTTCTCAAATTCTATCAAGATTTATTTCAGTCTTACCTTTTCCAAGCTTTGCTGTCCTTCCCTCAAAATAGCCATATACTAATGCCCAAAAGTTAGGCATTAGATTAGCTCTTTTGAGTTAGAACATGTCTCTGGGTATAAGTTGTTACAACAGATATCCAGATATGATATTTAATTCCATTACTAGTAAAAGGTAAAAATATGTGCAGCCTTCTCCACTTTCATTAATAGCTGTGGGATAAGTTACTCTATGATAAAAAGCAGCCACTAGTATCTACCTATTCCTTTGAGAGCCTTTTATAACTATGGATTTTCTCCTTTGGAAATTATTATATGAGCAACAAATGTAAATGACATATGCATTTCAAAATATGACAGGAATCATCTGAAAGTCTCCAGACAAGTTATTTTTAAATATGGATATGAACCAGAAATATCTAGGAAAGTTTTATATAAGAAGCTATAAATTCTTGCCTAAAATCCACTCTAGAAAACTCTGAAGGAGCAGGTACATAATGTGACACATGTATATGTAATTTTTGTTCTACAGATTATTCTACTGTACATACCCAGAAGTACTACCCAAAGGTACTCTAGGCCCTTAGTTTAGGAACCCTCTATATGCTTATTTTTCTGTGTCTCTAGAAAAATGAAGCAGTATTTGAACTACAAAATGCATATGTTCAGGCACACACACATGCACATATACACTCTTTAAAAATTCTTTTGACGTGCTCAGGATTGAACCCAGGACCTCATACATGCTAGGCAGGCAAATGCTTTACCTAGATACACACAGCTCACCCACTTCTTTTCACCTATTCCCCTTTCCCTACATTCAGGCACCAAAGATGACTTTCCTGATATGAGGCCCTCAGGTAGAAAAGATAATCATATTCTTGGTTTCAATTTCAAAAAAGAATTCTTAAGACCTATCGCAAAAATGATACATGTTGTCAGTAAGACAAATATTTCCAGTGATAAGGGCAGGGATGCTTTGCTCTCTTATTTGTTTTTTTTCCTTTAAATGCTGCAATTTGAGTAACAGCTGAAAGGCCCAAAGATTTCAGAGACCAGAAGTTAAAATAAACCACATAATGGACAAAAAAAATGTTTCCTGTCTCCGAGGGAGAAAGAAAAAATTTCTCAGAGTGGAAACAGTACAGGAGGATTGTAGCACCAGGTTGGGTATTAACAGGTCCCTTATAGGGTCTTATACTCTTGTATAGCACCTCCTCTTGGTCAGTCCCTTAGTGGGGAGAACTAGAATGACAGAAAACCTACATAACAGGAGGAAAGGAAGTGGCCCAAATCAGAGAGGTACTTTCATTTATTAATTATTATTTTATTCATGGAGTTATTCATATAATCAAGAAATGTTTATGGAGCACCTATTGTATGTCAAGCTCTATATAGGTGCTGGATATAGGGGAGTGTTTTGTTTCTCATATAAAGCTAGAAAATATAAAGCCTAGCAGAGAAGTGCTGTTCAATAGACTGGCCCCAAACTAGTAGTCTTAACAGAACCCAAAAGACAAAGCCCAGATAGATTCCACACATATACTTTCAAAGGGCAGCATTTAAATTTTCCTGTATCACTAAGAGGAGATGTGACAGTAGATGAGGGCAAGAGATGTCCCCTAAAGAACCCTCACAATCACAATGGGAGGCAAAGGTGATCCATATGGATTTGTGAAGCAGAATTGGGGGGGAACTTCAGTGCAGTGCAGTGGAATCAGTTACTCACTGAAGGTCAGTGGTGCCTGTATGTCTCAGCAATAGGCAATGTGCATGAGTGCTAGACCATCAACCCCTTCCTTACACTACAATGACAAGTGCCACGGCGTGGAACTTAGATCATAGCTCTGGAGAGAAGAAGTGAAAAAAAAAAAAAAAAATCCATGAACTGAATAGAAACCTGGGCAAATTTAAATCATGAAGTAAGTAATTTCTCCTCAAAGTGGCAGAGTTTTAGGGATTCAACTGTTACTAAAAGTGGAGTATTAGTTAAATATTTCTAAAATAGGCATATTTTTGAAAAGTAAAATCTCATAAATCAGTTCAGTGAATATAAGATATATAATCACTATACAGATGAAAATTTTTGACAGCACTGAGCATTAAACCCAGGAGTTACTGAGCTACACTCCCATCACTTATTAAAATTAACCAATTACTTTTCAGGTAGTATCTCATTGCACTGTCTCAACAAAATGGCCTAAATTCTAAGTAAATGCTAAAGTAAGGCTCTAGTCTGGATAAACATTTCTGACTCCATTGGTGCACTAAAGCTAATCTGTAATTAAGATATTAAATGAATTTTTAAAGTTTCTAGGAACTTCAGGGAGTACGATTAGGAGAGTATTGATTTCCACTGTGTCAATAGTCCCAAAATGAGCAACTTCAAGCTGCCAAGTCAGACAGGTAGCAAAATTCCTTGAAATTTTAAAAATTCATTCTATCAGTTAGTTACAGATTGGCTTTGGCTCACCAACTGAGTCAGGGATGTTTATCCAGACCAGAGTCAGATTTAAGCACTTACTAGAATTTGGGGCATTTTAATGAGACAATAAAATGAAGTATTTTAAGAACAGATATCCAATTAGTATGGATAATTAAGTTAATGTACTTTACCTAAAGTACACATAAAAAGTATCCTTTCCTTCCACTTTTAGCAAGCCAAATACAAAAAGAAATGTTGCCTCAACACACACACACACACACACACACACAGTTCTCTGAATAGAAATATAAATGCTCTTTTACAAGATCCACGTTAAAGGAATCAACTGTACCTGTTTTACTTTGTCACCTTGCATTCTGCTCATAAGCATCAGCATAACTACATCTATATAAAGTATGAATTTTTCTCTTTCTACTTCATAAAGGTCAAAGAAAACTAAGGACATTTAAAATGGCTTGTGAAATATGGTGATGGCAAAGGAGTACAGGCACGAGATTGATGGACCTTTATGCAATAAGAGAACAAAATAATTCCATGGATTTTTCTCAGGTACAATTGAACTTTGCTTTTTATAGATGACATATTACTGAAATGATGTATGTGTGTTACACTGGGAAAAGTCAAGACATATTTTAGACTCGTAGTTGTATTTTTTTCTTTTCAATCCTAGACATTTTGGAAATTTTAATGGAAACGATTCATGCTTTGACAGAAATGCACATATATACATAAAATTTTGCACGAAATGGGTCAGGATTAACAGGCATTCTGCAACTAAAGCTGGAGCTTCTGACTCATATAGAAAGCCCATATTTTGGGGCTGGGGATTTAGCTCAGCGGCACAGCGCCTGCCTGGCAAGCGCAAGGTCGTGAGATCGATTCCTGGTACTGGAAAAAAAACTAAAAAAAAAAAAAAAAAAGAAAGCCCATATTTTAAATATATAAGAAAATCTTAATATTCATAGAAAAACCAAAATATTTACTTTAGAAAGGCAGTACATTTAATCATGAGGGAAAGCAACCAGTTTAACTTATGTTTTCACTAAATTAAGATTTTTATTTATTTGAGTTTACTTATCATAAGTACCTGAAAGGCAAACCCATAGATATGAGGAGACAAAAGAAACTTTAGAGATCAAATTACACAAGTCCTTTGGTTTCTTAATATAGAGATAGATGTTCTAAACATTGAACCAACTAGAATAAGTCTCCACGACCAGGAATCCTTATGGTGTTGGGAAACAGCCCTGGACTATGTCAGAAGCCCTCAATTCCAGTCAAGTTCTGCCACTTGTAATCTGCATGATACTGGGCACATCATTTAGCATCTCTGATATTTCCTTGGCTAAAAATCTTACCTACAAGGACTAAGTGAGATAATACTTATGAAAACAATCAATATTAGATTGTCACAAATATAATAAGAAAATTATAAGTGATGAGTGAACCATATTTATCCTTAATGTTAGGGCCAAACTTATCAGATGCAGGACTACCTGACACCTGATAGTCTGTTTTATAATGAAAAAATTGTGAAAAATGTGTTAGAATTAGTATTACAGGAAAGATTTTTTATAGGAAAGATTTTTGTTATAAATGGGATAATGGAAAGAACACTTGGGGTTAAAAAATTTAGATTTATTTCCAAGTCTGTAATTGACTACTTAATCTAGAAAATCATCACAGACCTCTGGGCTTCAATTTTTGAATGACCAGAAGTTCTTAAACAATTACAGAATTGTCAGAGCCAGACCTCTTTATGGACACAAAGAAACCTATAAGGCTTCTTCCTACAACAAGAACACAATTAACACTTCATGTCAGGAGAAGCAGGAATCCCAAAATAGCTATTAAATTTTTAAAAGAGGCATAATATCAACCCTGAAATGACTTATAAAATGGTCTCCAATACAAAATCAATTTATCTGTGTATGAATTTATACATATATAATGTAAATTGATATATATACAAATATCACGGAACATATATATTATGGAATTACAGAATTGTATAAGAAAAACATTCTATTTAATAATACTAATTATGACATTGGTTAATAGTCTTGACAAAAAAGGTACTTCATCATTTCTTTGCTGGCTGATAAAATCTAAACTCACCAACACCTGCTGTGTTTGGAAAATAGTTATATTTTCTATAAATTCTTAAGTAAATATTGTCCATATTGGTTATTATTAGGCCATTACAGTTAATTGAGTTTGTTTTTTGAGCACCAATAATTCTTAGCTTTTAAACTTTCATCTTTTGCCATTAAGTAGCCTTGTACATTTAACTTATCACAATCTTTTGTGAGGAAACAATTTCATAGATCTCTCCCACTGTAATATAAGGAACTACGAAGGAATATTAGACTTTCCTAATACTAAATCTGCATTAGTCAGGATCCTCCAGAGCCACAAAAGCAATAGGGTATGTAAATAGAGGTATGAGAAGGGCCTTACTAGGGAAATTGACTCATACATTTATGGTGGCAGGGAAGTCACATAACACGGCATCTACAAGTTGGAGACCCTGGGATAAGTATAATAGCATAGCCCAGTCCAAGTACAAGAACTCCAAATTCAGGCAAGTGAATCTTATAACCCACCCTATAGTTGAAATCCTGAGTATCCAGGGGCCACTGATGTTAAAACCTATAGCCCAAAGATCAACAAGGCTGGAGTTTTGATATCCAAGGCAGCAGAAAAAAATTTGATTTCAACTGTCAGAGAGAGATCAATTTGCCTTTCAAATTTTCAACATTCAGGATTATGGTGTTGGAGATTGTATCCTGGGATTATGACTGGAACCAATTAATATGATACCCCTAGCAATAAAGAGGAAAACCAACTAATGGGTACAAATAGATGAATCTCAAAAACACATAGAGCAAAAGAAGCCTGAAACAAATGTATGAATACCATATAATTCCCATTACAAGAAGTACCAAAAGAGTCACAATAAGCCTATGGTGACAAAAATAAAATCTCAAGAGCATGTGTGAAGGGATCATAAAGCTGCATGAGGGAACCTTCTGTTGTGATAGGATTTTTAGCTAAGTTTACATGAGTACGTGCAAGGATCAAGAGTCACTGACTGAGCACTCAAGATTTGTACATTTCATTATATATAAATTACATATCAGTTATTTCTTGGTTTGGTATTCTAAGTATTAATTCTATAATTCTCCCTCTATTGTCATAGGTCTACTTTTTAACAAGCACCCAAGATGATTCTTATAGAGTTTGCTCATTGATCTCTCCTTGAAAAGCACTATCTGTGAGGAGTTAAAATGTGTTCTTGTCCTAATATTATCCTTTCCACGAAATAATAAATAAAAGGAAAGAATGAAATAGAGTTTTAAACATAACACTTGGTGTCTGTACATACATTGGGCACAGAACAGAGAGTAAGCTACTCCACAAGGTCTATAGGTCCCAAACCTAGACACACTTCAGAATCATTGCAGACATAAAATATTTATCTGCCTTTGGTTGCACCCTTGTACCAAGAAAGCAGAGTAATTTGTTGTCATACCTATGAGTCTATATTTTTCTAAATTACTTATAGGATCCAAATGAACAACTCAGTTTTGGAAAATATGATCCAGATGGTGAGTGTCTGCTAGGGAAAAATGGTGCTATGTTCAACTAAACCTTCCCTTTGTATCAAAAAGGTTTCTAAGACTCAGTCAAGACAAAATCTTTCATTCTCAATTTTTCCAAATGTAATATAAAATATTCTCATTCTTTACTCAATAACCAATAGGGGGGACCCAACATAACCAATTAGAGAAGGAGGTGCACTGGAATAGCTTGAAAGACATACACTGGATAATATAGGCATTCTGAAACAGAGAAGACAATCACATCCAGATCTGGAAAATTAACTCAAAGAAGAATCCTCAAATCAAGCCAAGTATCTGTGTTGCTGAAAAAGGGAAACAAGGCTGCTGCTGGCTCGCTCCTCCCCCTATACCCATTAGCCAGTGAACACAGCATCTTGGGAGCAGCACTAACAGCATGAGGAAAAGTGACAAAGGTGCAAAGGTCAGAATCCTGGGATACGCTCCCTACATACACTCCTCCAATCTTGAAGAAGAAATATAGCTTGGGAGTAAACTGTGGCTGGGATCCCAAGAAAGTTGAGGACTACAGCCCATGGAAGGGAGAAACAATAACACAAAAACGGGCAATCCCTTTGTCACATCATCCTCAAAAACCTTCCTGTGGCACCCTACCCACCACCCAGCATCAACAAGAAAAGCCCTCCAACCTAACCAGAGAGAGGATGAACACCACAAATTGGGCGTGGCACCAAGCCCGCTGGCAGGGACCCATGAATTCCATTCCTGAAGATACAAGAGAAGGGGAGAGAATAAATGGACCCAATCCAGAGTGAGCATTTTTGTATTTTTTCCCAGGCACAGAACAAATCTGAGACAATAGGAATTCCTGCCCATGACTCACCATCTCACACAGCCAAAGGAGGCATCTGCCAAGGCTGAGTTCTTCATAAAGTCCCACAGGTTGGAAAGTGGAGCTTTTAACTCAGGGACAGATAAAGGAAGGAACAGAAGCAGCAGCCTGGGTCAGAGAGCTTTGGGTGATATACTGGACAAAAGCTCCTGGAGCAAGAACATAGACACTACTATGCGATTTGTCTGGCACTGAGGGGAAGGGGAGAAATTGGCAGAAGCTGATGGAGAATCACGTGTTGAGAAAGCTACATTATATCCTTTTTCTCAAATTAGTTGAGGTGGTTAGATCTTGAGACAGACAATGGTCTGAAGCTGGCCATGGCCAAAGCATAGTTTGCAGCCAGGAAGTAGGTACAGAGAGACCGAAAGCCCTCAGCATTCACAGGCAGAAATAAAAAGCTCTCGGCTGGATGGTGGTGGTGGAATTCTGGCCACATTCTACAGTGGACATATGGATTTATTTTGCTTGTTTCTTTGTTTGTTCTTGGTTCTTTACTTTTTTAAAAATTTCCTTGGTTCTTGCTTCTTTATCAATTTTATTTTTAATTTTTTTTCCTTTATTCTGGTCTCTTTTAGCCTTCTTTCCTTCCTGTTCTTTTTCACTATTCCTCATTTCCCCCATGCCTTTGTCTTTCCTAATTCTTCTCCACCTTTCATGTGAAAAAATATGTATAAATATAAAGAGAGAGAGTATATATATTTCAGGAAAGAAAAATAGTATGACGTTTTTTTCAACAGGTGGTTTTACCCGTATATAGGGATCCTAAAGGATATTGTATATTGCAGAAAACCCACTACACTGCTGGCCCTTAGAGAAGAAATTGAAAATGTATGTGCAGCAATCTTAGTGACCAAGGTTACCCAAGCAGCAGTTCACTGTACTAATAAATGTGTGGAAGCTAGTGGCCACTACTTTTAGCACCTCTTATAATTGTAGAGGCCAAAGATAACTTGTATTAATCTCATGGTGTCTCAATAAATTAAGTGCTAAAATATTTACACACATTTTTCTTCTCCTGAAATATGTATGCATTTTTTGGCAGACTCTGTATATAGCAAGTACCTACACATGTACAAAAGAGAATAAAAATAGACCAGTGCTTTAACTTGAATGGTACAATTTATGGCTATGTTGGGCTAACCCTTAACAGAATTGTGCTTAGATGATCCAAACAAAACTAACTACAAATATATTAACATGTTTTGATAACTCTACATATTCTCTCTCAACCACTAATTATACTTCCCTCCCCCTGCATCCCTCTTCCCATCTCTACAAATATTCCTTCCCCACAAAAGCTCACCTTTCACTTCAGCTGTAATACCCCTAACAGAGTCAGAACTCCTATTTTTCACATACTGACATTTCTTTTATCTTTCTCCTTTTACTGATTCATTCTCTTCCTTTTCCTGTTGCTCCTTTCTTTCCTTCTCATTCCACATCCCAGACTTACCACTGGTAACAGTACAGTAAAATCTGCAAAAGGGTGAAACTGCCCAAAAACGTTTTAATTTTCATTAAAGGTGTATAGTTGGACCCACAGATGCTGTTATAACCAGTAGGAATTCTCTCCCAACAACACTACCAAGATCACATCACTAGAAAACAGAACTGAACTGAAGAGATCTTCGTATAACAACTGTCTTCACTCTATTTGACCTCTACTATCAGCAAACACACACAAAATAAAATAAAATAGGAGCATGATAAAACAAGTCAACAAAATGCTTCCAAAGATTCCAATCCACCCACTCAGGGGAACTGATGGAGAAGAAATTGAGCGCCAAATAGCTGGGTCATAAAAAAAACGATTAAAGATGAAACAGAGAAACTCAGGAAACTCAAAGATTAAATAAATAGTAGAAAAAACAAACTTGGTCAATGTAGTCAAAGATGAATCAAATTAAAAATTAGAAAAGCTGACCAACATCATTCAAAACATGAATGACAAATACTAAGAAATAGATTCCATGAAATGATGTCAAACAAAAATTCCAGAGATAAAAAGTCTATTGAAAATATAAACAGCAAGAGAGACCACATTGAGAAAATATTCTCAGACATTAAGGACAGAATGAAAGCATAAAATAGCACACTCAGTGATAGCTTAAAAGCACAAGTAAGCAAGGAAAATTGACCCATAAGCTGCTGAATGATGCTAAGTAAATTAACCTAAGGTGAAATAGAGTTCAAGAAAAATTACAGTGTAGCAAGTATGGGGAAAAAACTGGCTTACACAAATAACAGCAGAAAACTTTCCAAGGAGAGGGAAAGAATTCAACATATACATAGGTGAGGCTTATAGAACTCCAAATCATTACAATCAAAGAAACTCCCCCCAATATATCATAGTCAAAATCCCAAAGTCCAA